ACGATCACATGCTGTCCCTAAACACAGGGCATTGACATGACACAAAGCATAGCAGAAAGGCACAGAGAGCCCAGGCATGGAGACAAGGGTCAGGTGGGGTGAAGCACAGGGCAAGCAGCCATGAACTCCTACTGCCAGATCTACCCCACAGTGGCTTCTGATCTTCTGAGGCATAGTTCCCTGAAATTTTCTCTTAAATTCCTCCATGATTTCCCTTTCCCTTATTGCCCCAAGACATGCTAAGTGTCCAGGGATGTATGCTGCTGCGGATGTGCACGTACCCTCACAGGGCTAAGCAGCCTGGGTCGATCAGCCCCTATGGGGTGTGGAGAGGGCTTGAGAAGAGCCGGAGTGAGATCCAGAACTTCTACCCTGGAAAGTCATCTGAATGAGCCTCTGAGGTCTGCGTTTAAGAAAAGCTAAAGTGAGGTTTAAGTTTATGATTTCTTTCTTCTTTCATCTCCACTTAATCTGTTTCATTAGTTAGAAAAGGCTTAGAAAGATTGTACATTTGGAGTAACTATGAGAGGAAGTTATTAAGGAGTTACCTTCTCTGGAATTCAGATGACAAAATTAAATGTGAGTGGCAGTTCATTATTATGCTGATCAAGTAAAATATTATATGAGGAAAAAAATTTGCCGAGAAAGAAACACTCCAAAAAAAATGGATATCTTGATAAAACACTGTGGACCATCACTTAGAACCATATATCACAGGTCTCATAAGGACTTTGACAAACTTCAGCAACACTGCCAAGGGCACCTACTCCAGGGGACATAAATCACTTTTTCTGCACCTGTGCAGTCAGAATGACATGAAAGAGTAATTGGTTTTATTTTAACCAAGAACAGGACCTAAGTGGTCAGCACAGTGACGAGTGGTTCCTTAACACAAAAGTATGGGGTCCTCAGAATGCTCTGCTGTGTTCCCTAACATGTACTGTCACATGCCATTCCAGTGTGATATGTGATGATGTTATATTATTACCTGATGCTTGTAGATCTTTCTATTTTTCACCATATTTTTTTTACATATAATTATCACTCTCTATTTTTCTGTTCTCAGGAAATAAAGAAGCAAAGGGGCAATGTTTTCCTCCCACCTTCACTCAATGCATTGTTTTCCCTTTCAGTTCTCAAAAGTTCGAGTAGCAAGCTGTTCTGCCTATCTGTCTATCTGAGCAAACATCTGGCCTTTGGTCATCTTTATGATTCTTATCTCCACAGTGTGAGTCTTTCCCAGCCCACAGAACTCTACAAATCCTGCTCTGAGCCCTAAAGATAAAAATCTGAATAAGGAAATAAATACTGGCCCTTAATGCAACTATAAGCACTATGGAATTATTTTGTACCCTACTCTGAAAGTAGTAAGCAAAAAGGCAATATTTTCATATAACAAGGATTTTCTAACTCTTCCTAGAAAAATTATTATATTCTCTAATATATGTATACCTTGTATTATGATTAAAATTCTAAAAGGGAAGGGTAAGAATAGAAATATACAGTAGTTTATCTAACATAAGGCATACACCATAGATTTGGATTCAGAATTTTTCATTTAGGGATCATGATAAGAAATCAGGGGATGGCATTCATTCTTATTCAGTTCAAAAATGCTTGGGAAAAAATAAGCCAAAACTACCAAACTTCTGTAGAAGATAACTAATATAGAAGAATTAAAAAGAATTGTCGTCTAGCGCCCCTGAATGGCTCTGAGACACACACACTCACCAATAATAAATTGTGTGTGTATGGGCAGGCAGAGAGTGCCTAAAGATGAAGTTACTATGAATTGTTGAGTTCTTGGATGATGATGATGATGTGGTGGCGGTGGGATTGAACCTGGGATTGAACCTGGGCCTTAATAAACAAATTGTACTTCACTGTTTGACCTCCTTCTACTTATTCTTCCAACATTAGTCACAGTTTTCAAAGGACTGGGAATCAATAGAAGAGAGAGGATGAAAACTCTCTACTGAGTGCTTCCCAAACGTCACCCCATCTTTTACCAGTAACTCAGTGGAGTAGATATCATTTTCCTTGTTCACTAGATAAGGAATCTACATTTCAGAGTGCTTTAGCCCCTTGTCCTACACCACACAGCCAGTGACAGTGCAGAATTGAGATGGAGTCATGGACCGTGCTCATTGCTGACCAACTGCTTCTTATGTTTCTTGCCCAAACAGCACAGATTTTAAATCAACATGAGTAGGGCCCAACAGGCACATGATGCCGAAGTCTAGAATAGAAAATATAACACATTGCCATGTCCAAAGCCTCAAGACCAGAAAGAATATAATCTTGAGCTGGCTTGTCTTTGAGGAAATCATTATCACCCAGGATCAGAGTAGACACCCTCATCTTGGTGGCCCACTTATTCCCCAATAGTAACTCCCTCTTGATGCCTTTCCATAAAATCACATGATCCCACAAGGCATTGCCTCAAAGGGGGCAGTCTGAACTAGAAGTATCATGTTATCCTCAGTATCCTATCATGCTGATAGTTCTGGTCTTCTCTCTCTCTCTCATCAAATTTACCCATCTGTTTTCCTTTCCTGTGCTATGAATGCTTTCCCAATGAGCTTCCCTGCTTTACTTGTGTGCTGATTTTTTTTTTTGTGTGGTGCTGGGGGTTGAACCCAGGGCCTGGTACATGTGAGGCAAGCACTCTACCAACTGAGCTATATCCCCAGCCCCCATGTGCAGATTCTGGATGGAGCTGCCTGACCAGAGCTCTGTGCTGGTGGGACTAAGTGTAAGCTTGAGCTGAGACACTTGTTAGCTTGGATTTGCATTTCAGTTGTGCTGGGGCTTACTGATAGGTCTGCTTCTAACTATGACTTAGTCTCCTCAATCCTGAGTTTCATCTGAGGTCAGGTGTGGATACTAATGCTTCTCCTAGGTACTTCTCACAACTGTTATGGGTAGTCAATGATATAATGCATGTGAATCTGATTTGTATATTTTTTGATGTGGAAGGTATAAGGATAATGAGAATGAAAAGATAGCCCAGTATGACAGAGTACTGGTAAAATTCATGATTAAACAACTACAGCACTATAAAAATCAATTGTATTCTAGTAATTCATAAATTATTACAATACTTAGAAGAAAAGATGTCTCAAAAAACTTCATCTTTATGAGTTTACAAGTTTTTTAACCTCTTTTATTTGGGGAAGATCTCCGTCAAAGAGGTAGAAGGAAATGCATAAAATGTTTGGAATGAAATAGTTTTCATTGTTCCTGATGGGAGATAAGCTGTAAAAGAAAGCTTTTATGAATTTTTACATTCTATACATAGCTGCAAAATTCCCAAAAGATTCTTGAGATAGCATTTAGAATAGAAAATAAACAGAAAAATAATTAGTCTATAGCTTTGTTGTATTTTTTCTCTTACCTTCATACTAAGAATTCTCATCACTGTGTGCCATTTCCACTAGGAAATGCAGGGTCTATATGTAGAGATACAAGCTTGCTGTTGTGAGACCCTGTTCATTGGTTGAATGCTAGTACTCATAGTTGCCTATGCCTTACTAGTGGTCAGAATGCCAGAGAGATTAGGAATATATGGGAGAACAAATAAGTGAATGAACAGACAGAAACTTTTTTTAAATAAATGCAAATGTTTTACCTGGGAATGAGAAGACAAATAAGAAAAAATAGCTGTCTTCATATATTCCACAGAACATCCTATAAGAGATAAAAGTGACTTATTATTGCCTTTCAGAGGGAAAAGCCATAATCAATAAGTAGGCTTATTAGGGAGGTAGAGTTAAAAATTAATGACATAAATTCTTTTCTAGCATCATAAAGAATCCATCAATGAGGACTTTGAATTGGTGTGCACTTGCTATAAATGACAAGTGTTGGTTGAACTATACACACATTGAACAGGCATTTGCAATAGGTTCTCTATAATGCCTTTTCAGTATTAAACATTTTGATTTTGCAGAAGTCTTTCATCTTATTTTCTTGATGTCAGACAAGTTTAAACTGATTTTAAACAAACTTGTAGATGTTCAAAGACTTTTAAATTGCAAAGAGGATGTTTCCTGTGTCAAAATTCTGTCTTGCTCTCCTGGTTATTGAGCAGAATTATCAAAAGAAAATACTCAAGTAGGAAGAAGGAGTTGGATAAGGTCCATATTTGGGGTTCTCTCAACGTAATTTCCACAACCACCACTTCATTCCTAAATAGTTGTGGTTTCACATTTAAAATATTCACTTGATCTCCAGTGGTAGTTGCTCAAAGACTTTGCTGGAAACACAGAGCAGTGGCAGATAAACCAGGAAAGAAGAATGAGAAAGACAAAGCCAGCTTCCAAGGTAAGATAAAAATCTCTGTCGACCAGAAACAAAGCCTAAATGCAGACTGTGATTCAGCAGAATCTGGCAGCTGGCCCAAGTGGGAAGAGCTTTGCTTAGGAAACTGAAGTGCTTCATGCGATAACTGGGAACCGAACCGAGGTGGGGCCTTTTTTTGAAAACAGAATCTGGGGGCGGGTGGGAGGGACTTTGTTTGCTTACTAATGGAGACCAGAAGTTGCACCATCACACTCTGCCTTACCTGTAAGAGAACCCCCACTTCCTACTACAGACAGACATGGAGTCCACCCACCCGGCCAGCTGTGGAGATCTTCAGTATGCTCAATATTGTTACAGGGGAATAGTCCTAAATCACCAATGTAAGAATCAGGGCTGGAGGGAGAGGGACAAGAACGTGGACAGGGGGAGAACTGGGACCTTCATGTCCATTTTTAGAAGCTGTCCCCCTCCAAAAAAAAAAAAAAAAAACAGTCAAAATTATCAACAGGTAAAATATAAATTCACTTCTATTGACATTCATTGTTTGTCTTTAGGAATGATACAATAAATGTTGTATGTTCTAAACAGGTAAATGGAGTTTTTTTTAAGGCATGACAACTGCTTTAAGCAGCTGAGGAGTTAAGAAGAAGAAAGGAGTTAGAAAAGAATAGATGGATCTCAAAAAGTATCAGTTACACGTTTTATAAATAAAACATATAGTCCTTAAAATAATAGAGACTGAATTTCCTGATATGATACAGGGATCAACAAACAGGGTAAATGCTAGAGGAAACACATTAGAAGAAGAAAAACTGTGAAACAGAAGGTGGAATAGTATAATAAGACACCTTTTAAAAAAAAGAAAACGAAATAAAAAGCACTGAGAAGCTAGATTGAGATACAATATTCATTTATCATATGGATAAAAAATGGGAAACCACATCATTGTGGAGATTTTTTTTTTTGATTAATAGATGAATTCTCAGAACAAAAGAGTACTCTGAATATCAAGCTACATGGTGAAAAATAAATCCATATCTGGACATATTCTAATGAAAGAACAGAATATTAAGGAGGAAAAAAAATAATCAAAGCCTCAGAGGAAAAAAAAAAGAATACATAAAAAAGAATAATAAGTAATAGCAGACTTCCCCGAAGCAAACCAGATGTCAGAAAATAATATTTAACACAACCAGGAAAACTGTTACTCTATAATTTCATACTCAGCTAAACTATCATTCCAGAAAGAGAAAAATTAAAATGACAAAGAAAAAGTCAAGTAAAAATGACCCCCCTCCCTTATATCACCTTCAAAAGAAGTATTACTGATGAGTAAAACTGGATAGAAAACAAGAGTTTCGATATTCGTTAAGATACATACCCAGTGCACATTAATAGAACATGTTAGTAAAGAAAGCTGTGGAAAGCAAACAAAAGAGAAAAAAACCTCTTAGTTGCTGTACAGGTAGAAGTAAATAGCATCAAGGAGTAATTAAGTCACAGTAAGGTCCTTGACGTGATTAGAAAGATGAAGTCCTGAATGATTACAGGGGAATAGTAATAAACCACTAATGTAAGAATCAGGGCTGGAGGGAGAGGGACAAGAACGTGGACAGCGGGAGAACTGGGTCTGTAGAATGACCTTCAAGTCCATTTTTAGAAGCTGTCTCCCCCCCAAAAAAAACCAGACAAAATTATCAACAGGTAAAATATAAATTCACTTCTAACAACATCTGATCCATGCTTGATTGTAGACTGCACTAGAAACATTCATAACTTAAAATTTAACTGCAACATGGCATGGTGGCACACGCC